TTCCCCTTTTAAAAGAGTGTCTCTGTGGTCCCTACACTGTAGTGTGGGTCCCTGTGGGTTCTGTTCTCCATGAGCTCCCTTTTGCCCAAAATCACACAGTCTCTTATGGTCAGGCCTGGTCATCTCTTTATAGGCCCTCCGACAATTTCAGATAAAGTCTCTCTCTGAATTTTTCTGGGATGGTGTTGGGAAGCTCTTCTCAGGTCTGTAACAGAAGGTGGTGACATTCCTTCTTCCTCCAGAGGTCTTCAGCCTTGGGCTGGCCTGTTCCTTTCATGCCTTTTCTTGAGCCTGCACCTCCTAGGGCTTCTGTTGCTGTCCTGGGAACTTGTGGGTCTTGAGCCAATCTTCAGCTGCCCCAATTCTGTGCAGCCAGCAGTGCTGGGCTGGACAGGGGTGGTGGTCTGCCTGGAAAGTGTGGGTCATTGACTCCTGGTCAGCCTAGAAAGCCTGGGTCATAGCCCCAGGGCACCCTGCAGGCAGGCTGGGTCTTGTGTACTCCTATGCACTCCCCACACTCTCCTCTGAGTATGCTCTCACTCCCAGATATTTTCACTCACTCTGCTTTGTGTTCTGACTTCAAATCTGGTCTGTTTCTGAGAGAAGATGGAAGAGTGGCCTGCTACTCTGCCACCATCTTGGATCCTGGCATTCAGTCTTTAAATAAATAAAATCTTAAAAAATATATATTGGGGTGACACTGGCTAATAGGAACACATACAAGTGTACATGTGTTTCAAGTGTACATTTCTATGATACAAATCTGCATATTTTCCTGTGTGTCCACGCCCAAAGTCCAATGATCTTCCATTACCATATATTAGGCCTCTTTCACCCTCCACCACCCCTCTGGTAACCACCACACTGTTGTCGGTGTCCATGACTTTCAGTTTTATATCCCACATTTGAGTGAAATCATATGGTTCTTAGCCTTCTCTGACTGCCTTATTTCATATAACATATTCTCAAGGTCTATCTATGTTAGGGGTGTCAAACTCATTTTCATCAGCCTCATGGTTGCCTTCAAAGGGCAGAATGTAGTTTTAGGACTGTATAAATGTAATTACTCCTTAACTAGGGGCAAGGAGCTCGGCACTGCTGCCAGGTGGAAACAAGGTACTAGGCTGGATAAAATAAGGTGGAGGGCTGGATTCGGCCCATGGGCCTTGTGTTTGCCACCTGTGATCTATGCTGTCACAAGTGGCAGTATTTTGTCTTTTTTATGGCTGAGTAATACTTTATTTTACATATATGTAAATAACAGGATTATAAAGTTAAAAATAAATATTTCTCCAAATCACAAAAGCTATTTTGGAAGAATTGTTGAAGTGGCCCTTGGATTTTTTTTTTTTTCAGTTCACAAGTGATTTGATATTTGAAGTTCAGAAATAATTTGGAACTTTCCAGGTCTGGGCTATGGATGAGACTTGACCCTGCTCCGTCTCTGTTCATGTGAGCTCTATTTGTATCAAGATGTGGAAGAGGAGCCTGGCTTCTCTAACTTGGTTGGAAACAATCCCAAGGTCATCAACAAAGACTAAGATAAAAAAAGACTAAGAATTACTTTTGGGAAATATTTAATCTGGAATTTTCAAATCCAAACTTTATTAAGAACTCCTCTTCACTTTGTAGGCAAAGAGACAGATTTTGAGTCTCTCAGTTTACAGTGAGGGGGTTTCCCTGTGTGAAGAATTCACAACTGTAATAATACTCAGATACTTCAACTTGCTGGAGTTTGAAGATTAGATTAGCTACTATGTGAAAAAAAATTATTCAGACTATGGGCAAAGAAGAATCAAGATCCAACCTCAAGGAGAGTAACTGAGAACAACAATACTGTGGCACCCATGGGGCAAGAATTGAAGTCAAGGTCTGGGGCTAAGTGTTTGGAGCCAGGAGTTAAGGTCAAATAATAGAAAATCAGGCTAAGGTGAGGAGTCTAAAACTATTGTTTTGAATGTTTGTGTTCAAAGTTCTTATGTCAGTGATTTTCAACTGTTTTCATCACAGTAACCAGCACACATAAACTAATTATTAAAAGCCACACTGAAAAATATATTTTTGCTGACCTGACTAAGAAAAATAGGTATAATTTTGATTCATTCACAATATGCTCCACAGTCACTGGAAGTTAGAATTTCCTGGGGATTGGCTACAATAGCGTATCAGCAGCTCAGGACTCTAAACTGGTTACTACAGCAATACTCAGGGACAGCCCAGCTAAGAAAGTGGAGAAATGGAGACAACGAAGTTAAGGGAAGTCCATCCCACAAAAGCCAAGTGAGGGGCTCTCTAACATCTAGAGCAGGAAGCAAAATAGTGACCACTGACAGGTGGCAGCTTTTCTAGCCTCACAGACTGCTGCTGCCTCTGCAACCCCTCACTTGCCCCACCCCTGACCCAGATATGTCAAGAGCTCCTAGCTCTTTCCCATTACCTGAATGGTATGTTGAAGTGAAGGATGAAGACAAGTTGGCACAGCAGGTCCTGGCTCTAAATCTACAGATGCAGGATGCTTTTGCAATAGTCGTGACTCATTGCACAATTCACTGGTCTTCTCTGGACCTCGTATCCCTGGATATTTGTAAAATCCAGACACTGAGGATGTGACTTAACTCACAGAACTGCAGTATGGTGCAGGTGAGACTATGGACTGAATGTGTTTTGCATACCCTAAAGTGATATGTGTATAGTGCTAGGAATATTGGTGGCAGGTTTCCAGAACCCAGGTGGGGGTTGAGTGAGTCAGCAAGAAAGAAAACCACCACTTCCTGAAGAGTTCTCAAAGAGTAGGGCTGGGCAGCTGGGGTTTCAGGGCAGCATAAACAGCCAGTGCCTGCCAAGGAAAGGCTAGTTTGCTTGGAGATCCTGGAGTCCCAGAGGAAGCAATCGTGAGTGTCTCTGTCCCTGCCTCTCATGTTGTTTTCCCTGTGCTGAGTGAATATCCTGAGGCCCATCAGGGGTGGTCTGTTTTACTGGTGTTGAGGAAGGCAGTAGCTGTTCTGATCTAGGAGGGGTGGGCGTGGATGTGAGACAGGGACAGATTTGGGGAATAAGGAACACTCTTCTGCCCCTCACTCTGCTTCCTTTGCTCAGTGGGAGATTTGCTTTCTAGACTGGGGTAAGGTGGGTGAGTGGGATGTGACACCCACACAGACCCCAGATGCCATTGTCTGGAAGCCTCAGTTGGAAATGCAACTCCACCTTCTGTCCTCTCCATCCCTGATTTCTTCATCAGAGAACGGTTGTGAAGGAGAAGCAGTCTGGGAATTCATGGGCCCGGGTTCTAAGCCTATCCTTGTACCAACAGCCTGTGGGACATAGATAAAGATGTTTCTCTCTTAGCCTCAAGTCTTTACTTAACACATATACTGACTGGACTAGGTCATTGATTTCCAACCAATTTTTAGAGGAACTATTTATTTAAATAAAATTTTAGTCTGAGATCTTGACATAAACTGAACACTATGTGGGAAGGGGCTCTGGCTCTGTCCACTCCCTGTATAGGCCCAGCTAAGAGGCCTCATCTAAATCCTAGGTCTAAAAACTTGTGAGTTAGCTTCCACCAAGGCCACTTTCTGCTACAATGGACAGTGGTGCTTTCTGTGCTATTGTGAGCTGTTGGGCAGAATTCCTACTGCTTTTCATTCTTCCCCAGACTTGGGTGCAGAGCTCCAGAATTACAGCTGCAGACCAGGCAACAGTATCCTTGCTCTGGCCTTGGTTCTCTGGTGCTCACAGCTGAGCCTCTGCCACAGCAAATGCAGCAAGTCAGCTGCTGTTGGCTTTTGAGCTTGACTGGGTATTTGTAGAGACTCCCCAGATGACTGAGGAAGTGGTGAATTCAAAACGAAAAAGGCCTCCTGCAAACTAAGATCCTTCACAGCCCAGAATCACCAGCAACTAGAGACAAAAGCACTTCTCTGGCCAGGAAGCCCCTTTCCTGACTCCACCTCCAGTTGCCTGGTGACCCTCTTCACCTTTGCACAGATCCCTCAGGCCTTGTCCCAGCCTCTGCCACTCCCATGAGCTCTTTCCATGCTCATACTCTACAATTTCTCTCAGGGACAAAAGAAGGTGAACATTGGGAATGAGCAGGTCTTGCACCCACCCTGATCTCACTTAGCCCCCAAGTCCTTCGCCCATGGTAACTAGACATCCTACTGGACATCAGTTCTTTCCTGCCCTAAAACTACTCTGTCCTTAACTGATCACATCTCATGTGCCCTTCATCCCTGAGGTCCCTCTCCCAAGTCATCTCAGGTAGACTGAACAGGACTCCAGGTGTCCCAGGATCTCTATAGCTGATAATAGAGTATCGCTGAGAACTTTTTCCTTGGGTATACCTGGAACTTTCTTCGTGGAGACAGGGCCTAGTCCAGGAGTGGCCCAATGACCTGATGAACAGGCAGCCATGTACCTATGTTGCGCTCAGGACAAGAGTCACTAAGTATTCTGGCTAAGTGGTTGAGGACTTTAGCTTCTTTTCAGACCCACAACACAGACTGCCAATGCTAGTCTATCCAAGGCCACAGGTGACAGGAAACTGATTTGCCTTTTTGGAGCCAAGCCAACCACCTTAATGATACAGACAGGGAGAAGGAGTTTCAAGGAGAGGAAAGGTACTTCCCAAAGGCACTTGATAAATCCTTCCTGGTGGGACAGATGGCCTCAGTGAGGAGTTCTACATCCTAGCCACTGTCACTGCTGGTGGCAGTGACCAAGGGAAGTCACTAGAAGGGACAAAACAGGACATCTGAGAAGAGGTAGATGATGCTGTGAACCCATGTCTGAGTTTTAGCTAGGTAACCATGCCCTCCCAGACCAGGCTGTGTGACTACTTGTCCTAAACTGCTTTGGGGGTCCTGCTGCTCCTGATCCCAAAGATGGGGAGAGGAGGTAGGAGATGTGCCTCCCCTGACCTCTAGGAGCTGTGCTAAGCACTCACCTATGTTCTAGAACTGAGAATGTGTCCTTTCTTTTCCTATCCATCTGCCTAGGCCATGCCTCTCCTCTTCTTCCCCATGCTGATACTGCTCACTCAGCCTCCAAGGTCACTGGAAACAGAAATGAAGACCTATTCCCAGAAAACAGTGCCCAGTGCCTGCACCCTGGTCATGTGTGGCCCTGTGGAGAACGGCCTGCCTGGTCGTGATGGACGAGATGGGAGAGATGGCCCCCGGGGCGAGAAGGGGGATCCAGGTAGAACTGGGACCATGGGCTTGTCCTAGGGGGATGGGGTGGGCTTTGGAATTATAACCAACTCAGCAACCCTGGATATTGTACTGTGGAAGCCTTGGAAATGGACACCCACCTCCTTGAGAAGGAGAAGTCCCCTAGATACTCAGTTCATCTAAAACAGTGCTTTACCAGCTGCCAAGTGACTGGCTGTCCTTAGCCTCCATACATCTCCCCACATCACCCAGCTGCCCTGATTTCTCCCCTGGGATCTTCTGATTCTTCTCACCTCCCAAACAAGCAAATAATGGGTAAATAACTGGTGTTTGGGCCACTCTAGAACCATGCTCTGGCACTTAGCAATTGTTCATTGTGGTTAAATAGGGCCTGTGCATGGTGTTAAATATCTAATGAAGCTCTACTGCATGAGAGTGGGAAGAGATGAGGCTCAGTTGCCCATACTCAGACCTGATCAAAAAGATTTGTTCTAAATATTCTACAGAGAATAGAAAAGGGAGCTCACATTTCTTTGATCAGTCCTATGCTTGGGCATTCCCTTCTATATTCATTTAATCCTAACTATACAGGACATATTAACCTCATTTGACAGGAAATAAAATTGTGACTTAGGGAGGCTAAAATATGGAAGGTGATAAAGCCCTGGGCTTCTGTGTCAGACAGACCTGTGTTTGATTGCTAGCTCCATCTCCACAGCTGGAACTCCCATGACAAGCCACTCAGTGTCCCTGAGTCTCAGTTTGCTCATTCTGTAAGTGGAAGAATATCCATCACAAACTGACAATTGAGACAAAGCTTTATTTTTTGTTGAGTGTTCAAGATAAAGTTGCATCTTCCAACTGTACCAACACGTGAATTCTCCTGAGCTTTGCAAAGGTACTATTTATTATTAAGGGTATTATCAAAGGAATACTTCCCCATAGGGGATAGTCTGGGTGTGACTGGCAAAAAGGGAGACTTCAAGAACCAGCAATGGGCATGAAGGGACCATTGTGACACTTGGCTTCAGTTATAGGAGAATCAGTTGTGGCCTTTATCTTTCTGGAGTGTGCATTTTGGTGATGAAGGAGGAAGATGATGTTTAAGCTGGAAAGAATAGGTAACATTGCCAGGCTTTGTAGGGTGAGGAACAAGCAAGTATCCATTTGTCCTTTACAGAGAGAAGGTGGCTCCCAGTGGGAATGGACTGGGTCTTGAGAAGGCTGCCTGGAAGTGAACTCCGAAGAAGGGTGGTTTTCACGGTGCCAGCTCTCTCTCAGAGAATCCCAGCTCTTTCTTGGAGAATCGCAGCTCTCTGTAGCACCCAGAGGGACCCTGAATTGAATCCTGGGGAAGGCACCCTTTCCTAGGTGGTCCTCTAACCTGTGGCATGGGGTCTGGCTGAGGCCTCCCTTTCTTCTGCATGTGCCTCATGCACATCCCAAGCCTAGGGTTGGTGCTTGGAGAGAGAACAGTGCACACTAGGCCTGGGGGCCCAGGCTCCACACTGGCTTCTTAATTCCAGGCACATTAGTCACTTAATCTTAATGGGTCTGAGAATTTATTGGAGCACTCTAGTAGCCTCAGTACCCTCACGAGGTAGGTCTGGGTGCGACTTGTGACACCTGCCCTGCAGATTCTGATGCACGTGGTCCCAGGAAGCTGCTGTAAAGGACAAGATGGGCCTGAGATGAGAGACCCTTGAGCAGAGGTGGAATGTGGAGCCCAGGTTTCCATGGTGATGCCCAGACATACCATTGGAGGGCCAATGAGACCTGGGCCCTGCTTTGTAAGCTGTATTTACAGGGACAATTCGCTTAGTTCTCAGCATCTAGATTGTTGCCCAGAGGATTCAGCAGAGTGCCCCCGGGAACATGCACCTCCCTTGGAGAAGACCACACACTTCACAGCAGCCCACATGGCCTCTCTCTTCCCCTGCTTACTTGTCTGATCTTGTCGCCTTCTCCACCTCCCCACAGTCCCTGGGCTCCCACCACACTGGCCTTTCACTGATCTGTCAGTACACTTGGGGGGCCTGCCTCCCCAGGGCCCTGTTACTGCTCTTCCCAGAGGCACACTCCTCACCACCTTCCTAGCCTCACTCACAAACCAATAGCTTCTCTGACCACCCACTTAGAAGATACACCTGACAACACTCTCCACACTTAATATCTGTTTCTGTGAAGTTGAATTTAAGCTTCATGAGGAAGGGATCTGAATTGTCTTTCTCTTTCTCTATTATTGCCCTGCATTTAGGACAGTATGGTGTAGAAGCTCTGAGAACACTGTGGAATGAATGAATGTGAGATGCAAGGAGAAGAGGAGTTTCGGTACAGTTGAGAGTGACCACACTTCTGGTCCATGAAGCTTCACTTCAGGTGCAATTAGAGTACAGGGATACATCTCTTGGGGAAACTAGGATGCAAAATTAGTACTTCAGGAGACATGAGTGCTTGCTGATGAGGGTGTGTCTTCTCCATCTGAGTGCTCTCCTGGCATCCATGCTTGTGTGCTGAGGATGGGTCACCTTGAATGTGCCCTTCTATGGGTTGTCTTCTTCTCTTGGCCCATCTACCTGTTGCCATGTTGGCCAGGATGAAACCAAACGGGAAGCTCAGCCTGGGGTCAGGGCATCTCTGCCCCGCATAGTGTGCTGTTGAATATGAAATATGGGACTCATCCTGGAACCCTCCATGTTCCATTTCATTCCTAGTGAGGACTGTAACTGGAAGCAGAACACCATGCCCAGTACACAGCCTCTTAAAGGCACCAGTCCTCCACCACCAGCACATTCTTGCCCCCAGGCAGGTCTGACCCAATCCTGCCCTGAGAGCAGGATTTCCAAGTCTGAAATGTCACCTCTCCTCTACAAATCTCTCTGCATCCTTTTCACCCTTTAAGTCCTACTTTGTCCTTCAGTAAAAGAGCTCTGAGACTGTATGTGTGTGCTGGAGTAGGGGTGCTGTGAGTGGTATCTCACATATTGGGGTGAGGGGCATCTCACATATTGTCTTCCACACTCATTTCCCATGCTTCCCAGTTTCACATTCTGCTGCAAATCCCTTGCAGGACTGGACCTAGTGGTAACGTTTGCATCTCACCCACTGCCAGGCATGAAGTTCTGTTCCATAAATGGTTTCTTAGTGAACCAATAAATGGAACAATGAGCAAGTGGACAAATATGTGAATGAACATGATGGCACCACCTGTCAGTATTTTTTTTTTAAATTTTATGCTGTGTTATACCATCAGTCTTTCTAATTTTTAAAATTGAATTAGTTGGGCTAACATTAGTTAATAATATTATATAGATTTCGAATGTACAATTTTATTATACATCATCTTGTATATTGTGTTAACCACTCCAAGTCAACTCTCCTTCCATCACCACTTATCCCTCTTGTACCCTGTTTAACCTTCCCCGCATCACACCTTTCCTCCTGGTATCTTTTTACGCATGAATGTTTATAGCAGCTTAATTCACAACAACCAACAGATGGAAACAAATCAATGGTAATCCACTGAAGAATGTACAAATAAAATGTGTTCTATCCATACAAAGGTGTATTTTTGAGACATAGAAAGGAATGAAGTATTGAGACATGCTGCAAAATGGACAAACCTCAAGAAGTCATTCCCAGTTAATAAAGTCAGACATGAGAGGTCATATATTATATATTTTCATTGATATGACATATCCAGAATAGGTAATAGAGACAGAAAGCAGAATAGTGATTAGCGATACCCAGGGGTTGGAATGGGGGAGAGGGAGATAACAAGTGGCTGTTTAATGGCTGTGAGGTTTGCTTTTGGGGTTATTAAATGTTTTAGAACTAAATAGAGGCAGTAGTTGCACAACGTTGTGAAGGTGCTAAATGCCACTGAACTGTATGTGTTCTTATTTTTTATTCTTTCAGTTTTGTCTTTTTGATCTTTATTGTATTTTTTACATTGCCTTTTAATCCCCTAATACCCCTCTCCCATGAACCACTGAACTGTCTCCTTTAATAGGGTTATTTTACATTATATAAATTTCACCTCAATTAAAAAAAATCACCAAACTCATAGAATTGCATTTAAAATTTTTTTGTTTTTTAATATATTTTATTGATTATACTATTACAGTTGTCCCATTCCCCCCCTTTATTCCCCTCCATCCTGTACCCCTTCTCCCACCTGTATTCCCTACCCCCCTTATTTCATGTCCATGGGTCATACATATAAGTTATTTGGCTTCTACATTTGTTATACTATTCTTAACCTACCCCTGTATATTTTGTACCTACCATTTATGCTTCTTATTCCCTGTACCTTTTCCCCTCTATTCCTTCCCCACCTCTCCTTGCTCATAACTTCCACGTGATCTCCATTTCTTTGATTCTGTTCCTGTCTAGTTGTTTGTTTACTTTCTTTTTTTTATTTTTTTAGGTTTGGTTATTGGTAGTTGTGAGCTCATTGTCATTTTACTGTTCATAATTTTGATCTTCTTCTCCTTAATAAGTCCCTTTAACATTCCATATAATGAAGCCTTGGTGATGATGAACTCCTTTAACTTGACCTTATCTGGGAAGCACTTTATCTGCCCTTCCATTCTGAATGATAGCTTTGCTATATAGAGTAATCTTGCATGTAGGTCTTTGCCTTTCACGACTTTGAATACTTTTTTTCCAGTCCCTTCTTGCCTGCAAGATTTCTTTTCAGAAATCAGCTGATAGTCTTATGGGAACTCTTTTGTAGGTAACTGTGTCCTTTCCTCTTGCTGCTTTTAAGATTTTCTCTTTATCTTTAATCTTGGGTAATGTAATTATGATATGCCTTGATGTGTGCTTCCTTGGGTCCCACTTCTTTAGGACTCTCTGAGCTTCCTGGACTTCCTGGAGGTCTATTTCTTTGATCAGATTGGGGAAGTTTTCCTTCATTATTTTTTCAAATAAGTTTTCAATGCCTTGCTCTTTCTCTTCTCCTTCTGGTACCCCAATGATTTGGATGTTCTAATGTTTAAAGTTATCCTGGAAGTTCCTAATTCT